CGTTATCTTATGTCTGACCAATGAGTCAAATTGCTCACAGGCAGATCAGCTTCTGCATGTGTAGAAACAGTTACTATAGTGAACACCCACAGTCTGTGCTTGGTTTGTTATTGCCCTGAGCACTAAGAGTATTACGAAGTCATAAATATTACTATAGTTACTAAACATTGAACGTGAGATCTGATGCTTTGTATGATTTAGAGATCCAAGCTGAAATTCCTAAAGAACTTCAATAGGAAAACCTGCTCTGTCACAGATCTATAGTGACGTGAATTGTCCAAGTGAAGCTACAGTTTCTAATATCTTATTACTATATGATATATATAATTTCCTGTCACAACTCCATCCACTGAAATAATCTTTCACATGTGTTTAAAAGACCTGAGTTACAAAGTGAGAGATAATCAGAAGATATTTCTCATCTCCTTGCAAAGGAAACAGCCAATATTCACAGAGACAAGTTTGCAACTCATAGTCTTTAAATTCACTTTCAAACATTCTTGCAGACTGGAGCACTGACTGAAGCACTTGTGTGTCTTATTCCATGTTATTGCACCAGAGTTTAAGAAACCAAACGAGCTAAGCACACAAACAAAGTGAAAGTAACCCAAGCAAAGCACATTCATTCAATGACATCTGCAACTGATTCAAGGCCTACTGACCACATCAAACTTGGATCAGGCTTTCTGCATATAGACAAATGTCTGCAATCAGGCTGTGGGTAATGTTGCATGCACAGAAGTGAAGGACTCTGAAACTCAGGCTTTCCAGCACCGACGCAGGCTCTAGCTGCTGCCACCAATTTGGACATGACAGCAGACTATTTATTACCATTTTATTCCCATGTAAGGTAATGTACTGCTCTAGGAAAAGCATATTCATTTGAAAAGTCGCCCCGAGTAACTCAGTTGCGTGTTGTTAAGTAACAGTCAATTGACAAACTGCTGGTTTTTAGCTGAATGTTAGTTTTATTATATAGTGATGCACAGCACCTTAAATGACAGTACTATTATATAATGGTCTAATTTATAGCTCCAGTCTTTTAAAAGAACAAAAAAGAAAGCATATGTTTAATGTTATGAATTCCTATGGTCTTAATGGAAACTTAGGCCTTCGCTTTAAAAGTTTAGTGTATCTGTAAATGCTTTGACACCCAGGAGTAAGTAATATGATTAAACATTAAACCTCCATGAAAATGTCTGGTATTCTATGGGATCTGTGAGTTTACATCCAAACAGGACCTAACCTGGGAAATGTTAATCATATGTAACAGAAAAACAACTGTAATTGCTCTAAATACACAAAATACAGTTATGTGTACATTATCTGGAAGAGACCTATTCCTGAATGTGAGTCCAACAGAATATATGGCATCCCCACGCACTCAACATTCAAGCAGCAGGAACTGGAAGAACAGATTCTCTAGTCCTATATAGTCCAGAACTCCTGAAAAGAAGGTTCTTGTTCAATGCCTTGCTCTTTCAAAAGGGACATTACACTTTTTAATCATTTTCTCGCTTACCCAAGCTATTAAGGAAGGTCTGGGTGCCAGGCAGACAAAGCTAAAAGATGCATAGTTTTGCTTATACACAACTCTTAATGATTTACTATACCTGCCCCTCCTCATTGATTTCTGCATCGATTATTGTCAAATAGGGTTAAACTTCAACTGCAGCAGTGCTATGCGACCTACTGCAAAAGCATGAAAAGTATCCGAACTAGAAGTTTTAATAGGTTTGTACTGATCAGGTTTGCACTGCACATAAACAGACACAACCCAAAATTAGTCCTAGCTGTAAGAGACAATTACTTTTTAAGTGAGTTGCTTTCATAGAGAACAGATGATTCTATGATGAATCCCTGAATATTCTCATTTAGAAGACAAGGTCACTGCTTTGTGTGTTTTTTATAAGAATACAAGTGAAAATTGCTCTACTCGTAGTCATATTCTGATCATTCCATCTTTAAGCCATGTAAAAGGCTACAAAGCACTAAATTTGTATTTTCCGTGTTACTTTTTATCTTGTGATGACCTCTCCTGGTTGAGCTGTTCATTAGCCTTGATTCCAGAAGTTAAGACTGTTGTGATCCCTCTATGCTTATTTCAAAAAAATAGCAGAATGTGATGAATTTATTGCCAAGGCACAAAAAGCATGATTATGAATAAAATATAAAGTAAGATCTGAGTATTAGTGTGTGTGATACTATGCTCTATGTTTACTGTACTACAAGATGGGCTTTCAACACCCGCTTCATCTTGACATAAAACTTAATGAGATTCAAAGCTTTCAACATGATCACTTCTGAATCAGCATTGCTGAGAGACATCATTTTAATGACAGAGATAGATTTACTGACTTCACAAACTAAGCAAACAGTTGAGATGCAATATATTCGCCTAAGTGACATACAGTTCTATTCTTTCCAAAACCTGTATGTTTTAATAAGTCAGCACAAGCAGGCTATAAGCAAACACTGAATAGTGAGCTCATATGTAGGGATTTGTAATTTCCTGTACACTATGAATCTTGCATGCTTCCTAAAACCACTATGAGGAATAAATCTGCTGTTGTTAATTACTTCAAAGTCAAAAGATAAAGTAGCAGTGGAAGAGAAAAGAAAACGTGGCTGGAAACCAGTTTTACATCAAAGTTGCATTTCACTCCATTTTTAATTATTTCAGAAGTATTCTGAATATGACATTCAAAATCAACGAGGAAAAAGAGATAAAAGACTAAGTGCATTCTCTTGTCAAAGGACAGCAAAAATCCCCAATGCCATTCACAATCAATTACAGACGAAGTGAGAAACAGTCCCAGAAAATCCCGAACAGAGATCAGTTTGTATGCCAAAGCATGCAATGGGATAACCAGTTCAGTGTTGCACCAAAACCCTGTGACACAGCACTTGAGTTCCTACTGTGGTACCACTTCCCAAGCACACACATATCTTTACAAGAATTTTAAGTATGTACTGCAATGTGAATACTCCTTTTGTCATTTTAAGGCTGACGAGTACTTCCAGCTATATTTCTGTTTCCAGTAAACAGATCTTGCTCCATCTGACTTTCAGAAGAGAGTCAGAAATGAAATGCTGCACGCTACATAAGCACTGTAGTGCATAAGCTCTTGGAAGATGAATTAATAGAAAGAAATCTTTGGATATCTGAAAAAAAAACACTGTCAAGATGGAAATGTATATGAATAAACTGCAATTAAGATATTATATATATCTCCTTATCCCTGGGATTTCTGGTTATGGTGATTTTACTAGTCATTAACTTCTCAGCTAACTTCTTTCAAAAGTTAAAGATTTCTTAGCTGGGTAATCAGATAGCCCACTGCAGGTCATCTTCACGTTAAACCACAGCTATTAGTTATAGAAAGTCAAAACAAACAAACAAAAGCTCGGAAATCCTATTATAAAAATAGCAGAGCAGGGAACTTTGTTTCCCAAGATCAGATTTCCGACAACCTAAATCATGAATCTTTTTTTCCTCCCTGTATATTCCTTTTATGCAGAGCCTGAGAGATGACCATGAAGAAATAAGATTCAGAAGAAAAATTAGATAGCTGGTCAAAACTAAGCAGTAAACCTCAGGATCAATATTTCTCCTAAATCAAAGGCAGAAAAATAACTGAACATCCTGTAGCCTCCTGAGAGCTATCCTGAGACCTAGATACAATGCAGACACTGCTGCACATTTTCTGTTGATACACAAACATATGTCTAAGTGTAAGCAAATCCTGGGACAGTAACACTTTCATTTTTCAACAGATATCAGATGATAACAGATAGAAACCCAATGAGAAAGTATAGCAGGGCTCCAGTTCCCCAATCATTGCATTGTTCAGTCCTGCCCCAAGGAATCAAATAAATAAATAAATAGAATGATCCATATAGATCTCTATGCAGTATATACACATTACATTCTAAGACAATTCCCTGCTTGGTCAGTAGAACCAGCCCCCATTCACATACACATAATCCCAACACATGTATCTGTAACATCTCAGGACATTTCTTTATAAACAGCAGAGGAAGTCGACAGTAGGGTCTATTTTTAATCATTGTATAAAAATGCACTGCTTCATCTCAGTATGCATGTCAAAAATACTTTGCAAATGGCAAATGCTTTACACGGTCTGAAGAGAAACAACTAAATACTTAACACTGACATCTACCTGCAAATGTTTTGCGGGAAACTACAGCTCAGTGCAATGTTAAAGATCTGATCTAACACCCATGGAAACCAATGAGTATGCTGTCATCTTGACTCTGACAGCAGAACTGGGTCCTGCATAGGTACTCCTCCTGTCTGAAGTTCAGCATTTCAGCAGATGCTTGATCATTTCTCAACTATTTCTGCCTCCCTAGGAGCACAATTGCTGGTATCCTCTAAAATACCTTTGCTCATTTTATTATGGGAAGCAAAACTTCACTCTCAAGGAAAGCTGTCCTGGCACCATTCCCTGTCATTAACTCACCATCATTCTTTGCTCTTCAAATGAGGCACTATTTTCTCTTGCTGCTCCCTGATATCACACTAGTTATGGAAACAGCTCGCATGTCCTCTTTTCCTTCACACAACTGTGGAAGTACTTCCAAATGTAAATTGCATACGCTTTGAGGAAAGTGGGAGAAAAAAAACCAAACCAACCAACCAACCAAAACCCACCCCCAAACTTTGAACAGCTTTTATCTGATTCCTTTCCCCCCTGACTCCATTGCAGAACTGCAACTATATCATAGAGCAGTATACCTTCAACTTTCCAAACCAGCTGCCACTGAAATCATCTATGCTAAGGAAGATCTGATGGGGAGTACTGCAAACAGTATCAAACCTCAGTGCACACATGCACATACAAATACACAGGAAAATCAAAAGCAAAATTCACTGGCAGAGAAAAAAAAACAATCAACCTCCCAGAGTTGTGGGAATTTCCCTCTGGCTTTCTGCAGAGCTGAAATTGTAATGCTTCTTAGCAAAGGGTACTTACGAGATGCAGGCAGAGCAGTCCTGGCTCTGCAGCTAATGCTGCTGAAAATCCAGAGGAAGAGAGCTGCCCTGCAGCCAGCTCGGGTAACCACAAGCATCCTTCACTTCCTGGCTCCCTGTACTCCCAATGCCAGCCGCAGAAGACCTGCTGTTCTCCACTTTGCCCCCTTCTCTCTCTCTCTCCTTCTCTTTCTCGGAGGAGGTGGTGAAGAGGTAAAGGGGGCAGGGCTTTACCTTGGGGTAGAAGCCAACCCCCCTCTTCGTCTGCTATCTCTGGGTTTGCAGCGGCAGGATAAGTCCTGGTACTTTTCTTTCCCTTATTCTCTGTGTTTCTCTGTGTGTGTGTCTGTGCCTCCTTCTCAGAGGAAATGTAAAAAAAAAGGGGGGGAAAAAAAAAAAAAGAAAAAAAAATCCACGAAGTGTCAAACAAGAAGGATTGTAGAAGAGAAAAACAGAAAAAAAGGAAAACCAATCCCCAAAAAGACAGGGGAGAGGGAGGGAAAGGGAGATGGAGATGAAGGGAAGGGAGAAAGGCGGAAAAGCCTCTGGTGCTGCTAACGCTGCTGTTGATGCTACCACTGCAGCTGAGCCGTTCTTCCTGTACAGAGCAGCGCTGCTGAGAGAAGCTTGCAATAACCTCCCAGCTCACATATATATACACAGTGTACGCGCACACACAGCCGGGGAGCCAAACACACAGGAGCGGGGAGAGGGGGAGAGAGGGAGGGAGAGACAATCCCGCAGCAGAGAAGCAGGTTCAGAGCCTCCCTCCTCATGTACTCATCATCTTCCAGCAGAAGGAAACGCCGCCACCAGCAGCAGAAACCTCCCCCCCCGGCCACAAAAAAAAAGAAGGCAGCAGAAGGGAAAATCCTCCCCTTCCCTTCGCTTCCTCCAGCTCCTCCCTCTTCCTCTGCGCCCCTCGGGCCTCCAGGACCCTGCTCGTCCTCCCTTGCCTGGTTCAGAGGCAGAGCCAGGGACAGCGGCGGGGACCGTGAACGGGGCCGGATCCCCCAGCCGCGGGGAGGCCGGGCCGCTGGCGCTGATCGCGGTGCTGACGATGGGCGCGGAGGTTTGCTCGCAGTCCCCGGGGCTCTCTCCCCGCACACCGCGGTGGTAGCGGCCCCCCGCGCTCCAGCCCGCCGGATCCGAGCGAGGCGGGCAGCAGGCAAGTCCTCCGAGCGCTCCTAGTTCTGGGGGGTGAGCACCATCCCCGCCTGCAAAGAGCTGGGGCTGCAGGGGCCACGAACGCAGATGCTTCCATTCGGTAATTAATTCTCGGTCCCAGAGCGAGCCAGGAAGCGAGCCGCATTGAAGTATCATCATGGTTTTCACCTACAAGATGTGACTGAGACAACCTGGCCATCTCCTAGCCTTATGGTTTAGGGTTTTCAAGAGTCTGACTGCTCTTTTCCATCCCTCTGTATCCCTCCTGCCACTGGCCTTAAACAGACTCAACCAGAAGTTATTGCTCACCAGATACAGTAGAATAACGAGGGTGGGGAGTTATTCGTGGATTATTTATTCTACAATCAATGAGGCAAAGAAAAATGAAAACAATTAACTTCTCAGGTGTTACACAGAGAAAGAAGGCTGAGAAATGGAAAGGCATAATTTCTTTAGAGGAGCCCCAAAGCAGGGATAAATTATTTTCAGTGACTAATATACATGCTGTTAACAAGTACCTGCTGTTATTTAGTGAGTGTGATGAAGTGGTTAAGACTGTATGTAAGATGAAGCTTTTCAGAAGGGGTATTAGGATCCTCAATCCTATTGCTCTTCCGAGGGAGCACAGTGCCTATCTTTCAGGTCACTTTGAAAACTCATCCATACGTAATATGTGATATCCCAGGAGAGCTGTGGCCTAGAGGCTTGAGACAGCACAGGACAAAGCTTAAGTGCCAGTACTGGGAAAAAGTGTTTCTGTAATCTTGTCCAACTGCCATAATTCCTTTGTCCTTGAACCTTTCCTTGCCTATCAATACCAAGTATTAATATCTTCACATTTTAAATGCTTTCATAGAAGTAATGCCAATACATCTATAGCAAATGTGGAATGAAAATGTTGTGCTATGAACGCTGTTATGTCTGGTTTTGAAGGAGTATTCCCATACAGATGTTGTTACCTCTTCTCTGCATCACTCCGTGACCTCCCAATCCTTACACCCACAGGCACTTTCTGATGCTCAGTAATCATTAGGATACATGAGTTAATTTGCAGAATTAACTAAGAGCCAAATATTAATTAGTGCCATTAAACTAGTTCAAAATTGCCTCTTTTTGTAACTTCTTTCTTGTTAACATCTATTCTCCTCCCGCTCTATGTCCCACAGATTTTCAAATTGGTCAACCCACATTTTGTGTTCTTTAGCTGCAGCAGAAGTGATGTGGCTGATGCACTATCAGAAACTACTACGGATATACCCAGGAAAAACTTCTATGACACTCAAGAAATCTCACTGCTTCCATTCTGAGATCTTGCAACCCTTCCAGTATTCACTGGCCTTTATTGTTCACCTAAGTAATAAACAGCTTCTCTGTGCAAGTATTCAAAAGCTCAGCATATTACATATGGACCATATTGCAACCTAAATTTCTGCTTTTTCAGGTCCTATATGCCAACAAGCACAACTAAAGCAATACAGGTACACATCACCCATTGATACTTTCAAACACATATACTTGCAGATCACCCATTTCAGGCCTCCATGGGACAAAAACCTGACTTGAGTTTTTCAAACTTCACACTTCTTTAGCATATGATAACTGTGTTACAAGTAAGCATGTGTTTAAAAAGTAGTTATAAAGGGTAAGACAAGTAATTCAAACCAGGAAGACTGAGCAGGTTGATTGATCAATATCTCAATAATGGTGATAGCAGAAAGTTTCTTTGTGGCTGGAGACGGAAGAAAAGGCACAGATTATTGCATTTTCCCCCCACCTCAGAATAGGATCAGTCCTTAAAAATTGCATAAAATATTTAAACTATGTAGCAACAGCCGTGAGTTGTGCAAGGGTAATGCAATTATTTTTAATATAACCACAACTGGGGCCTGCAAAATCATTAACTTTGATTCTGTCACACAAAAATCATTATAAAGATCTTCAGGCATTTTTTAGTCCTATAAAATAAGTTAACCATAATATATAAATATATACACTTCTTTTTTTTTTTTCTCCTGGAGGATGTTTTCAAATATTACTTTACATGATTCAACAAATCCAAGTTGAATATATTAGCCTTTGAAATGAAAACAAAATCAAATTGTTGTAGGGCACAATATGAAGTTATTTGATACCTCTCCCTTCTACTCTTCCTCCTAGCCTTTCCTTGCCAGAGTGTAAATGTGAGGATGTTTCCAAGCAAGCACTGAGACACTCCTGCAGTCTAAGCAGGGCAACTAGAAGCTTCAGCACCTCTACCATGCAGCCAACAAGAGCCTGCAGCATGGGTCAACAGAAACCTGCAGTCTACACACAGGAGGTTAGGAAAGTGTCCTAGCAGCGTGGGACAGACAAACAAGCCAAGATGTGCAGGAGAATCTTCCAGCAAATCTACTCCCATAGGAAAACTACTCCTTCCTTAGTTTTCAAATCAACGATCCCACAGCCTTGAAAAGTGGGGACTTATCTCAATCTAGTGGTAAAATCTCCCTGGGAATTATTAAGACACTAAAGTGTTAAAAGACTCTAGTTATTACAGCTGTACACACATTTTATGTCGCTTAATGGAAATGATACACACATATTGATGAACAAGTAGATCATTCTGAATTTACTAAGGCTGTCAAGTATTGTCTCTTAAATGGAATTCATCCTGGACAGAGCTATATTTACAGTATGTGAATGTCAACAACAAAATCACAGTGTCAGCTAGAAAGGATAATTAAGAATTTCAAATGCCAGTGGGACCAAATGGCATCCAAAGAAGTGATCAGCTGGGGCCACAGAAGATAATGTGCCAAGCTGAAAAAGAACCTGAAACTCAGAATCATAGATTCATAGAATGGTTTGGGTTGGAAGAGACCCTCAGAGGTCATCTAAGTCCAACCCCCTGCCATGGGCAGGGACATCTTCAACTAGATCCGGTTGCCCAGAACCACATCAGGCCTTGAATGATGACATTTTTATAGCATGAATGAAGTTTAAAGCTGAAAGACAATTTTCAGTCTGTTTTGAGAAAACCACTCCAAATGACTGAAAAATTCACCCGGGATGCTCTAACACATGGCAACTTGGAATGTAGCTGCAACTTTTACTGAGGTAACATTTGATTTGATCTGGAAATCACTTCGTTTAGTCAGCAAATAATGATTCACAAAACACCTTCTGAGCTTCTGAACTAATACTTTTGAATTAATACTGAGAAGTAAAAGCCAAGCTTCTTTATTTCTAACAGACTACCATTTTAACATAGTTTTTCCCTTTTATATTTTTGGTTACCACGGACCCTTTGCATGCCAAGCCTCTAAAAATAATCTGTAGCAGAATTTCCATCCAAGCCTCTAGGATGGTAGCTATGAGAACTTCACACGGGGAAGACAAACACAGTGTATTTCAAATTAGGACCAAACAAGACTTTATGACTATATGCATAGAATTAAATGGCAAACAATGGACAGCTCTATTACTGAGGCAAGTCTTGGATTTAGTAAGATCAACGTGGGGTTTTCTACTGTGACTGGCTACAAACATGGGTCTTGCTCTGAAGGAGAAAGAGGGCACTTGAAAATTGTGATAAAGACCTGAGGAAAATACTTATTTTCTAGAAATGTAAGGAAGGAAAGTGCTTTCTAACCTTCCTAATGTAGCTGAAAAGGAAGATGAGGGTGACTGACAGAAAAAAGCCATTACCTTCTTCTTGCTTCATGCAGCTAAAAATACGGCATTATAGTTTGAAGTGAATGAATTTTGGCTTGACCATTTTCTTCACTGTAGTTGTACTAAAACAAACAAGCAAATAAAAAGCTGGAAATGTGTATACAGGTAATCATTGCAAAATGAAGTTCTAGTTCTTTCTTTACATGCTTCATAGCAAAGGTGGTTTTAAAAAAGGAATGTTCAACTCTCAAAATGCTCAGTAGGTCTCTATTGAAACTTGTGACCCCGCACTGTCATTCATACAGATGTCAAAAGCAACTGAAGATGTTCAGAAGTTTACTGCTTTGTGCCCCTAGATCTTCTGTCATCTAAACATGTACTCAACATGGCATTTACCTTTAGATGTTTCTTTTGGGATATCTTGGTGTCTCTCTGCATAATGGGGAATTTTGACAATCAAAACAAATAAAAAATCATGCCGTATGTCTCAGACACATGCCAGATTTGAATCTGCATTTTATAGATGTGCAAACAGAACTGAATTCCATTCTTATTCTGCAGCATGACTGAAACAATCAAACAGAAATGGCGGTTACCTGTCAGAAATGCAACTGTTCTACACTAATCACCAGTCTTATTTTGAGCTGATTTCCCGTTTAATGCTCCTTGAAGAAATGGAAGAATGTGTTTTATTTACAAATATGATTTGATTACTGCTCATCCACTCGAACAGTCCACAGTAATTTTCTCCTCCAAAACACAATATTCTTTTACACACTCATGTCTGTCTTTTTCTTCTGAGTTTGCTTTCAAACCCCACGTGTTTCCCTCCTCCTTTCTTTTAAGCACCACCTGTTAATTTATTTGGATGGGTTTTCTATTGCAAAGTAATTCTGCATTCTTACTATCCCTAAAAGTCTATTAATGAAAGAATAAAACAACATTTGAGAATCACTGAGACAAATTATTTTAATA